TATTCAGCCATTATGTTAATTTGTTGGATCACAGATCCCCTGACCCGATTCGTTTAAACATTGGAAACTTTTTTCTTCCAAATTTACACATTTCTTTTCCTGCCGCGACATGTCATTCGCGAAAAAATGATTATAAGATCAGTTAGTGCACAGAACAAAAATTCAACTTCCAGCAGATGATGGTTAAATTAATAATTTGACCTAAACGTCGGTGTCGGACGTAATCGACACGGCATTGAGTTATTTCCATGATCATTAAAGAAATAAAAGAGCTGATGTCAGCTTTTTAAAAACATTTCTCCCCTCCTCCGATTTCTGACATTGACCAAACAAATCTGTGATCCAACAAATAAAAGAAAATTGGCCTTAAAAGGTTTCTATATACTGTATTACTGATTGACATGATTACGACGTGTTTAATGTTTACAACAAATTATATTGTCCAGTAGCAATTAGACCTGCCACAGATTCCAGATAACACTGCTCCAAGTAAAATGTGTGCTCCTAGCTGTACTTGACAGCATATAAAAGTTTCCTGCCGACTATAGAAACTTTATGAGATCACCTCAATGATAAAATCATGGTTGAGCAAACCATAGACTTTGAATGCAATGATTCAGACCATTACTTCAAGATATTGTCCAAGGTCCTTAAGTTATGTTAATACTTGCTCCCTTCATGAACAAGGCTTGAATTGTAGGGTACAGACCTGAGGGAAGAATATGATACCTTGAGATTTAGCATGGTAATAGTGTCTGTCTACTTGTTGGCATTCAGGTTGAACAAATATGAAGTGTTGGTGTAATGCCGAATCACCTCCTGTCCTGCAATATCCTTACATTCAGTTCTCGACCTGTGAAGATCCGGGGTAGAATAGGTCTTCAGCAACCCATTCTTGTTGTAAGAGGCAACTAATGGGTTCGGGTGGTCAGGCTCACTGACTTGGTTAATGCATGTCATCGTATCCCAATTGCGTTGATTGATGCTCATGATGTCAACCACTGGATTGTCTGGTCCAGACTTGATTATTTACAGACCGCCATCATATAGCTGGAATATTGCTGAGTGCTGCGTTAAACAACAAACATTGTGGAAGGGACCGCCTCTCTGCTGTAGTCCATAGAGAGTCTGCCTCGAGAGAGAATGGTCTGTTCGATCCCTTGGGTATCTTACCATAAGATGGTTCTTCTTGTTACCTTGCCTGGCACTCGGTTTTCAGATAAGACAAGGACTGGTCAGCTCGGAGTCAGCACACTGTGTCTGGGTGGGATCCATGTTACACTGGAGCATGGTATCTCAGTGGGATAGCACTATAAAATTAGCATGAATCGAGAATAGCACAAGCAGCCACACACACATTATAGAAGTGAAATACTAGTAACCATGAATGCGACTGGAGGAGCGGTGGGGTAGCCTAGTGATTAATGCATTTGTTCTTCATGCCAAAGGCCTGGGTTTGATTCACCACATGGGTAGTTTGGTGAAGCCCATTTCTAGTGTCCCCTGTCCTTATATTACTTGAAGCGGCATAAAACCAACCTCACTCACTGTCATTGAGGAATGGAATGGGTATGTGAGTGAGTGAGTGAGTTTGGTTATACGCCGTTTTTAGCAATATTCCAGCAATATCACTGCGGGGGACACCAGAAATGGGCTTCACACATTGTACCCATGTCGGGATTCGAACCCGGGTCTTCGGCGTGACGAGCAAACGCTTTAACCACTAGGCTACCCGACCACCCCTCGGGTATGTGAAAAATATACTGATTCAAATAACATGTGAAAAAAAGGTTAGGTTAAAAGTTTTAGATTCATCTTTGGCTGTTTACATTAATACTTGAATTATTTTTGTATAGAAAAGATGATGTTTGTCATGTATACTATTTCCTATTTTTGTTCACCAGTAGAAAAAGGAAACTTGTTTTCAGAAATATTGATTCAGAAATTTAAGAGATGACATAATACAATGTTTGTCAATATAGGATTAGAGTACTTTAAAAAAATTCAAATTTAAATTGTCAAACAAACTTTTTTCCATATGAAGTAGGTAAATCATAGCGACAGAGAAACCCTCCTATGTATATTGACAGAACGCTACAGGTTTGATGTGAGAACGTGTTCCACCATTATGAACATTCATGTACATAGCATGTAGATTTCACTGTCAACAGCTGGTCCACCCTCAGAGAGAAGTCCTGGGTCACCAACGGCCGGCTGCCTCAGACATAATTCCTGGGTCACCAAGGGCCGGCTGCCTCAGACATAATTCCTGGGTCACCAAGGGCCGGCTGCCTCAGACATAATTCCTGGGTCACCAAGGGCCGGCTGCATCAGACATAATTCCTGGCTCACCAAGGGCCGGCTGCATCAGACATAATTCCTGGGTAACCAACGGCCGGCTGCCTCAGACATAATTCCTGGGTCACCAACGACCAGCTGCCTCAGACATAATTCCTGGGTCACCAACGACCAGCTGCCTCAGACATAATTCCTTAGTCACCAACGACCAGCTGCCTCAGACATAATTCCTTGGTCACCAACGACCAGCTGCCTCAGACATAATTTCTGGGTCACCAACGGCCAGCTGCCTCAGACATAATTCCTGGGTCACCAACGACCAGCTGCCTCAGACATAATTCCTTGGTCACCAACGACCAGCTGCCTCAGACATAATTTCTGGGTCACCAACGGCCTCCTCGGATAACTTTGTGGCTGCTGTGTCATGGTCACACTGGTTGGATTATGTAGGAGAAACCCCATGGTATGAGAGATGATTGACATCATCCTGCCATTATTCAGGGAATAATACTTGATTATTCCATAAGTTTAAAGGAACTATTTCACTGATCGATAATTAATGTGGATGAGCCATCTTGCTTGACAGTAATGAAAGAACGATGTTACCACGGATACGTTTAAGTGAGATCACAGGGGAAGTTATTTGAACAGCGTCATGACATCAACTCAAAAAGATTTCTGTATCGCAAGATAAAGAACAGTTGGCGCTTTTCAAATTTAACGAAGCATCCCAGAATTCACCATGATGAACTTGTATGTACAGAGCATGTAGATTATGTTACCAAGGATACATTTAAATGGGATCGGGGGAAGAAATTTAAAAGCGTCATGACGTCAGCCCATTTTAACGTAACTCAAAGTGTTTTCTTTATCACAGGATAAAGTACAGTCGGCACCATTGATTGTTTAGCAAAGCAACTTAGAATCCACCATTATGATCTAACATGAACACACCTCCTACAACTAGCATCAACAATGCTGATTGTGGCCTACACAGCCAAGCAACACTGGAGTGTTGAAACTCTCACACAGCCTCATGACACAGGCAGCAATCACAAAGAGACAAATTAACTACCAACAATTTCTTTACACCCGAGGTGGGAAAGACCTATGGAAAAAGCATGTTGACAGTAGGTGTGCATATCACTCTCACTGTACTCCATAGGTGTGAGATAATGATAGCACCTCCGAGATAACGCCTCCGACACAGCCAGGCAACACCACACTGTAAAGGTATTACTGCTGCCTGTATACACTCTTACATAGTCTCATGACATGCTGACTTGGCATTTAGGGAACTGAGAAGAACTTTATAATTGATGGGAAATTCATTTGCTGTTATGTTCGTGTTGAATATAGTATACGATAAAGATCGCCTTTGGCAAGTTTTTGTAAATCAGTATTGAATAAGCATGCATAATAGGAATACATAAAAGGTTGTTTGCTTATTAAAATGTCAAGGGTTTGTCATAGGGGATATGAATAAACCGTTAAGAAACAGTTTTCAAGTGTGTTTGCATTTTTTATGTATGTTTTTTTCAGTCTTCATATTGTTGCTTGTATGTCAGAAATGTTAGAAATGTGTTGTTAAAAACATACAGAAGTAATTTGATTCATTTGAACCTTATAAAACTCTGAAAATACGGGGTATGATTGGTCTTCAGCAACCCATGCTAACCGTTAAAGGCGACTATGCTTGTCATAAGAGGTGAATAATGGGATCAGGTGGTCGGGCTTGCTGATTTGGTTGATGCATGTCATTGTCTCCCAATTGCGTAGAGACCTGTGAAGATCCGGGGTAGAATAGGTCTTCAGCAACCCATACTTTCCGTAAAAGGTGACTATGCTTGTCGTAAGAGGCGACATCGGGATTGGGTGGCCAGGCTCACTGACTTGGTTGATGCATGTTATTGATCCCAATTGCGTTAACCGATGCTCATGATGTCAATCACTGGATTGTCTGGTCCAGACTCAATTATTTACTAACCGCCGTCATATAGCTTGGATATTGCTGAGTGTGGCGTTAAACAATAAATAAATAAACCAAAATAAAACTGTTGTTAAATTGAAAAAGAATAATCTTGGAAATATACTCTTAAAAAAGTTTAGGACCACCTGACTCACCAACCTGTTGCATTTCTCTTCCTATATAGTGAGTGAGTGAGTATGGTTTTATGCCGCTTTTAGCAATATTCCAGCGATATCATGGCGGGGGACACCAGAAATGGGCTTCAAACATTGTACCCATGTCGGGATCGAACCCTGGTCTTCTGTGTGACGAGTGAACGCTTTAACCACTAGGCTACCCGACCACCCCCTTCCTATATAGAGAATGCAAAACAAGATGTTTTGGGGTATTATCAAAACTTTAAAAAGGATGGGTTATAGATAGGATCATATCATGACAGATTAACTAGTAATATGGAATTATCAGTGGTCCTTAACATATTATGAGTGGCATATCTAATTATGAGGCTGGTGAGTGTATAGCTATTAACATTTAGTTTGTTCCACAAATATAAAACTCTATGTGAAATGTTCAGTCAGTCATAAATATCATGTTCTCCAACCTGAGAAACAACAATGGTTCAGTGATTTCTCATTTCATGTTTGATTGGCAGTTGTACATATCTCCTGATCTGTGTCCCAGGCACAGAGGCATGTCCAGACAGAAATCCCTCCTCTGGGATTTGAGATGGTCCCTGAATCTTCTCACCCCAACGAGCTCCTGGAGTACCTGACAACGAACTCGTCAATAGCGCAGGTATTTGGCAGGACTCCCACTGACTGGCCACCACGGACTGGATCCCAGGTGGACCTTCGGACATCTGGACACATGGAATAACAGGACACGTACATTGCATTCTGGATTATGACAGTGGAGTTATAAGGTGAGAAGTTGCTGGCTCTTTAGCCTGTTCATTTCATTTTGGGTAACTGGGAAGGGATATGACACCCAATATATTCATAGACATGCACACCAGGCAATATTATATTGCATGGCTCTTTTGCACATGACTAGAACAACAGGAAAAAAACATGCTTGATTTATGGAAGTTATTAAACTGGATATGGACTTAGATAGCCCAGAGGTGTCATTTTTTCTGGTTTTCCTTTTTATTATGTGTTTAAAATATAAAAAAACCCATCAAATTAAATTTTCAATTCATCTTTACTTTTAGAACTTGTATTTCGTCTCTGTATGAGGATTGAACTGATCCAAAACCACCTGATAAAATATTCTCTTAGCCCCATAAACATCATGGCAGTTGCTCCCTGTCAAGTCCAGCTCTGCGCTAATCTCTGTTTACATTTCCAAAGATAATCCTCTTTCCTCTGAATGGACGTTTACCATACTGACTATTACATCTGACCATGGTCAGCAAAAGCTAAGAATTTTTTCTTCCTGTGTCTGAGATTAAGCCTCCATTGACATTGACTAGGCAATAGGGATCAGCATGCCCCGTGTAGACTGCCCTTACTGATATACTCGTATTCTACCAGGTCTGTTTCATTTGTACAGTGTACAGAAAGTTACCACGGGCATGCAAACTTCCCATTAGTCATGGGTGACTGCTTGTCGATATCAGTCATTTCTTGGGAAGGTCTGTATATTTTGAAGTACGATATACTGGAATTTATTCATGATTTGTTTTTATGACAGGCCCTTGTAGATATATACAGGTTAAAACATACCAGTGGACAAGGCAATGTCTGAGGATCTATACAAGTTCCCTAGCTCTTGTTTCAATAGATATTTGATCTGAGTTCTATTTAGTTCTGGAATGAGTTTGTCTCAGTGTACAATTATTATCATAAATGTTCATGTCTGTCTCACAACTGGAAGAGTTTAATTAAAATAGAGAGGGTGCTACAGAAATTAATTGTTTTACAATGTTGATAAGAAAATTGTGTTTATACAGTAAACTATGGTTATAACAAACTAAAAGGGACCACTAATTTTAGGTTTTTATAGCCGTAGTTCAGAAAGTGGGGATGAAATCCGTGGAACCTTGTCAACTCAAGGTCACCATGACTGTCAATTATAAGTCATTGTTAATTGAATGGGAGTGTGCTGCATGATGATTGGTCAAAAAGCTGTTTGGATCTTGGAAATCTTTTGGGCCTTGATTTGTATTATTTGTTTGGTTGGTTGTTTAACACCGCACATATACGACTGCAGTCTGTAAATAATCACATCTGGACCAGACAATCCAGTGCTAGACATAAGCATCCATCTGCGCAATTGGGATACAATGACATGCATCAACCATGTCAGCGAGCCTGACCACCCGATCCCATTAGTCCCCTTTTATGGCAAGCATTGGTTGCTGAAGACGTATTCTACCCCGGATCTTCACGGGTCTCCCTGTGTATGAATACATTTGATAATCTTTTTTTTCTCAATCACAAATTTGACATTTGGTTTGCAAAATGGATGCAACATTAATGAAATACTAAGTTTGAACAATATTAATCAGAACAACTTCAAAATATATTTTTCTTCCTGATTTTGCTTTCCAAGCATATGATGTCATCCATTGTATTATGTCATTGCATTTATAGTGTGATGTCATTGCATTTATAGTGTGATGTCATTGCATTTATAGTGTGATGTCATAGCATTTATAGTGGGATGTCATTGCATTTATAGTGTGATGTCATTGCATTTATAGTGTGATGTCATTGCATTTATAGTGTGATGTCATTGCATTTATAGTGTGATGTCATAGCATTCCACAGTGATGTCATGTCTGTCTCACAACTGGAAGAGTTTAATCAAAAAAGAGAGAGTGCTACAGAAATTAATTGTTTTACAATGTTGATAAAAAATTGTGTTTATACAGTAAACTATGGTTATAACGAACTAAAAGGGACCACTAATTTTAGGTTGTTATAGCCGTAGTTCGTTATAGGCACATATACACCCTATATATAACAGTTTGTTATATCAGTTTGGTATAAGTGTGTTCATTATAAACATAGTTTACTGTACCATCTTTTCAGAATGAAATTTCAAGGCACCAAATACTCATTACCCACAAATCTGAAAACACATTATGTCTTAATTCAAGAAATTCAGTGTTGTGATATTATTCTCTTTGGATGACGAAGGTACATGGCTTAAATAATATATTGAGTTTATATAGGTTGAGACTATTTATGGAAATGATAACCAAAGGTTTTTCTATTCTTTAAAACATGTTTCATGTCATTTGCATGCATATTTATCTCACAAAGAATATACTCAGTTCCATTCTGTGTGTGATCAGGATAGGGCTAGAAAAGGTATGGTGATATATAACATATTGCATCGAAACATTTGGTTATATAGCTTATCACATCTACACATCAACCCAAACATTAATAAGTACATAAATATTAAATACCAAAGTCAGAGTTATTTTTGTTATAACCATGTCGAATGTCAACAAATTTGATATGAAATGGTTTTTGATGTATATTTGAAAAAAGCTACACATTTTATCATGTAGGTGAATTACTGAATGGCTCCCAGCTTCCTTTATGTGAAGGTCTTGCAATTCATATAGCTCACGCGTTCCCGTTTACTGGTAAAAACCAATTTTTTACCGGTAAAATTGGGCTTGGACTGGTAATTCATGTGACTGCCAGTCCCTGTGGACCGGCAAATAGAGTACATGTACCTTATTAATTCTTGTTGTTGAACAAAACATCGGCAATATTCATATAAGTATATTTTTCAAATGAAGTCAAGTTGTCTGTTACCTTCAGGGATTCCCCTTGTCTATTTTTAGTGCAAGGAAATAATATTTTGTTTTGGTTCAAGGTTAGATATATATTTGAAGCGACTTAGTCTTGAAAAATACACACAAAAAAGAGAAAATTGTGACTGAACTTTGTGTGAATGACATGTAGATTTAACTAAGTTACTTCAGGGATGATGTCATGTTGAATGAATTAAAACCAGATAATTTTAATGCGTTTTTTTAATTTTTGAAAGTTGGGACTGACAAAATTTAGGAGGGGACTGGTAATTTTTAGTGTTGCCAGTCTGAACTGGTAGTTTCAAAAGCCAGCTGGAACACTGATCTCACGTGTCTAACATGTAATGATATTTTAGAAATGAACTCTTCTATGCCGGTGCCATTATGGTTAAACAATGCCCAAATGTTCTTTGTGTAATGGTATATGGGTGAGCTATTGCTCCATATCATTTCTCAGGTTGTGGATTTCAATCATTTTTTGGTTTCATGCCCAAAACATGTAATCTGTGATCAGTGTACTCTAGGCTGTGCCATGGACTCATAACTCAACACCCTTGTTCATTTCTCTCTGTGTATGGATGCATTCATAGCAGATGTAGATTGCACTGTGCTCAGCTGTCGCTCCTGTGATTTATGCAACTGATGTCTCGTTTCCTGATGTAGATATCGTGTGTTGAGCTTGTTGAGGAATGATTGGGAAGAATCAATCAATCCATTAATCAATTAAATGTCCACTGGATATTCAGTGTGATTTTACCAACACTTTTATCTTTGCTGATACTGTTGACTATATTTAAGTGCCAAATATCCAAATTATTCTTGATGGTCTGCTAATAACTGACAAAAACCTTTGTGTATTGACCACTTTATTCTACAGCTGTGGTGTTGTGCACTTACAATATGCTACTGGTATAGTGTTGTGCACTTACAGTATGCTACAGCTATGGTGTAGTATTACCGTATGCTACAGCTGTGGTGTAGTATTACCTTATGCTACAGCTGTGGTGTAGTATTACAGTATGCTACAGCTGTGGTGTAGTATTACCGTATGCTACAGCTGTGGTGTAGTATTACCGTATGCTACAGCTGTGGTGTAGTATTACAGTATGCTACAGCTGTGGTGTAGTATTACAGTATGCTACAGCTGTGGTGTAGTATTACAGTATGCTACAGCTGTGGTGTAGTATTACCGTATGCTACAGCTGTGGTGTAGTATTACCGTATGCTACAGCTGTGGTGTAGTATTACAGTATGCTACAGCTGTGGTGTAGTATTACAGTATCAAGTGAGGGGAGGTGTACAAGGTGGGATGGGTGGGGGTACCAAGTGAGGGAAGGTGTACAAGGTGGGGTGGGTTGGGGTATCAAGTGAGGGAAGCTGTACAAGGTGGGGTGGGTGGGGGTACCAAGTGAGGGAAGGTGTACAAGGTGGGGTGGGTGGGGGTATCAAGTGAGGGAAGCTGTACAAGGTGGGGTGTGTGGGGGTATCAAGTGAGGGGAGGTGTACAAGGTGGGGTGGGTGGGGGTATCAAGTGAGGGAAGGTGTACAAGGTGGGGTGGGTGGGGGTATCAAGTGAGGGGAGGTGTACAAGTTGGGGTGGGTGGGGGTATCAAGTGTGGGGAGGTGTACAAGGTGGGGTTTGTGGGGGTATCAAGTGAGGGGAGGTGTACAAGGTGGGGTGGGTGGGGGTATCAGGTGAGGGGAGGTGTACAAGGTGGGGTGGGTGGGGGTATCAAGTGAGGGGAGGTGTACAAGGTGGGGTGGGTGGGGGTATCAAGTGCGGGGAGGTGTACAAGGTGGGGTGGGTGGGGGTACCAAGTGAGGGGAGGTGTACAAGGTGGGGTGGGTGGGGGTATCAAGTGAGGGGAGGTGTACAAGGTGGGGTGGGTGGGGGTATCAAGTGAGGGGAGGTGTACAAGGTGGGGTTGGTGGGGGTATCAAGTGAGGGGAGGTGTACAAGGTGGGGTGGGTGGGGGTATCAAGTGAGGGGAGGTGTACAAGGTGGGGTGGGTGGGGGTATCAAGTGAGGGGAGGTGTACAAGGTGGGGTGGGTGGGGGTATCAAGTGCGGGGAGGTGTACAAGGTGGGGTGGGTGGGGGTACCAAGTGAGGGGAGGTGTACAAGGTTGGGTGGGTGGGGGTGTC